GTAGGTCGGTAGGTCGGTAGGTAAGTAGGAAGTGTGTATGCGTATGCGTGCGTGCGTATACGTATGTGTACGTATGTATGTATGCTCGCATGTGTGTCTTTGTATGTGCATGTATGGAAGTATGTAGGTCAGGTATGTATGCATGTAAGTATGCAGGCATGTATGTGTGTGTGTGTGTAAACGTATGTGTATGTACAGATTTATGTATGTATGTCAGCATGTATGTATGTCATAGCATAGCATAGCCTAGCACAGCAAAGCATAGCATAGAAAACCATAGCATAGCATAATATAGTAGTATTGTGTTAGTATGGGAATTAAGTATCAGTATTAGTATTCGAATTAGAATTAGCATCAGTAGTAGTCTTGGTATTAGTATTAATACTAGAATTTTGGTATCAGTACGAGTATTCGCATTCGCATTAGTCTTCGTATAAGTATTAATGTTAGTAATAGTATGTAGTATCAGTATAAGCATCAAAATAGTATAGCATGTACATGTATATTTGTATATGTATATGTACACGCCTACGTATGTGCATATGTGTATATGTGCAAATATGCATGCACGTATATGTGTATACGTGTACATGTGTATGTGCAGGTGTGTATAGGTATATATGTACTTGTAGATGTACATGCACATGTCGTGTAGATGTGACTGTGCGCATGTATCCATGTATGTATGTATGTATGTAGGTAGGTATGTATGTATGTATGTCGGTAGGTAGGTAGGTAGGTAGGTAGGTAGGTAGGTAGGTAGGTAGGTAGGTAGGCAGGCAGGCATGTATGTATGTATGTATGTATGTGTGTATGTATGCATGTATGTATGTATGTATGTATGTATGTATGTATGTATCGATGCATCGATGTGTCTGTGTGTGTCTGCGCATAGGTCAGTTTACATGTATGTACATGCATATGTAAGCATCTGCATATATATATATATACACGTGTAGGCGAAGGTGTACACCTTGAGGTACAGGTACTTTCATGTATGTATGTGTCATGGACATCTAGATAGAACGGTATATGTATACATGCATGTGTTCATAAATGTATTTGCGTTTTCAGGTTTATATGTGTACATCTATACATGGATGGACGGACGAATAGGTTCATGGATGGATGGACGGAAGGGTGGATGGATCAGTATGTGTGCATGCCATGCAATGCTGCGCTGTGCCGTGCTGTGACGTGCCGTGGCAAGGCAAAACATTACATGCCATGCCATACCATCTCAAGTTAGCTCGCTCGTTGTTTCATTCATTTATTAGTTCGTTCGTTCATTCATTCGTTCATTCATCCATCCATTCATTCATTAATCCATTCGTGCACGGTCTCACTCATTCGTTCATTCATGCCTGCAGGCAGGCATGCATGTATTCATGTATTACATTCCTTTCCATTTCTTTCAGCTCCATTCCATGTCATGTTATTCCACTCCTTTCCAGTAGATTCCCTAAACCCTAAACCCGATTTGATTCGATCTCATCAGAGCCAGGTAGCAGGGAAGCCGTGTACGGTCTACCATCCACCGCATAGCGAAAAGCTTGCATCTCGAAAGAGGTACGGACTGCCTGGAGCTGCTTCATGCTTAGGGTCAAAAGGGCTACGGTGTTGCTATAAGGGGGCTTTAGAGATTTAACCGGCATTGTTCTGCTTGATGGGTCGAAGAGCTCAGGCTTAAGATTTCGGGTGGGGTTTGGAAGCTCAGGAGACTCTGGTGGGTAGGGTTAGGAAGTCTCAATTTACGCCAGGGGGTGTGCTTGAAGGCCCTAACGTGATGATAATAATAATAGTAATGACAATAATAATAACAATAATAGTAATAATAATGATAATCGCAGTAGTAAAAATCATCAAACTGAGTCTTCAGGCTTCTATATATTAAGCCGCCGAGAAGCTGAAAAAGTCCGACTAAGCACCTAAGTACCCTTCGACCCTAAAACTCGGATCTCGGAGCCCGAAGCCGCAAAAGCCATGGTACTTGAGCCCCCCTTACGTTCGGAGTTGAGGAACCTGACCCCCCCTTTTGGGTTTAGGGGTTTAGGGTTTAGGGTTTAGGGTTTAGGGTTTAGGGTCTAGGATGTAGGGCTCAGGGTGTAGGGCTTAAGGTTTTGAGAGCGTTTGGGACTTGAAACCCCGCATGTCTAGCGCCCCAACGCAGCTTGTTGTGGCCTCCAGACGCTTCCAAACGTCGTGTTTTGAGTAAACCTGAGGAACCGGTATGAAAAAACACCTTACAGGCACCCATGAGGGAACCCACAAGGGGTTACTATCAGGGGTTCCTTTAAGGGTTCCTTTAAAATGAAGGGGTTACTATAAGGGGTTCCTTTAAGGGTTCCTCTAACATGAACCTGTCGAGGTGCCAAAACAGGAACCCCGAAATAGGAGCCTTATAGCCCCTGAAAGGCTCAACCTTCAGGGTTTAGGGGTTTAGGGGTCTAGGGCTGATAGGGTTTATAGGGTTACGGGGTTAAGGGTTTAGGGTTTATAGGGCTTATAGGGTTTATAGGGTTACGGGGTTAAGGGTTTAGGGTTTGTGGGGTTTATAGGGTTTATAGGGTTTAGGGGTTTAGGGTTTCTAGGGTTTATAGGGTTCATAGGGTTTATAGGGCTTATAGGGTTTATAGGGTTTATAGGGTTTAGAATTTAGGGCTCAGGGTTTATAGGGTTCATAGGGTTTTGGGGTTGAGGGTTTAGGGTTCAGAGATCAGGGAACCTCGTCGAGAGCCGCAAGCTTGTGATGAGTGGCCTGGTAAGCACTCCAGTACTTGTCCTGGGCGCCGCGAGTTAGGCTTTGGCTCAGCTACCAGGTTGCAATACGGTTGATGATATAAATCCTGCATTACCCATAATAAGGACTTTACCCATGATACCCATAGTCTCGGGTCCTTTAAGGGTAATGCTGGATTTAGGTCATCAACAGTATGGGGCCGTAGTGAAAAATGGAAAAGGGTTTGAGGACATAAGAGAATATGAGCACACCTAGGCCTAATTAAGGACCATAGTACCTGTGTTGTCTTGTCTTGTCTGCGGACCGTCGCGCCTTCCTTAAGGCACCCCTAAACCCTAAACCC